GCAGTGATGCTTGCCAGGTCATCAGTGATGGAATTTATTAGTGTCAAGTTGTTGGTCACTACTCAAATATACATTTATACAATATACATTATACTCAAATATACAATTACATGATCTATTTTGTTAAAATTTAGCATTAGGCTTCTGGGGTTTTGGGTTGCGGGGGTTTTGGGCAGCTTTTTTTGCTTAGTGTGCTGCATCTTAAGGCTTTAGTTAAGATTAGATAGGAGAGTAGGATCACAGCCTTGGGAGATCAGTAAAAACAGTTGCAATTAATTAGCAGTCTTCTAGCTTTGAAGCATCCTAAAAAGGATTGGATCTTAAATGTGTAAAATTCCCTTTGAAGAGATGTTTTCCTGAAGATATTTTCCATAGAAATCAATGCTCAGAGTTCAGAAAGGTGCCCTCTCTCATTCAAAGCATGGTGATTCTCTTTCTGATGGTTAACTGGTCCTGGTCTTCTAAGGAAGAAAACAGTAGTTCATTAATCTGAAAATCTAAAATTGAAAGATGAATGTCTGGGTATATGAAAATAGTCTGAGAGATGGAAATATGGAAATTAAGACTCAAAGATTTTAAAAAAGAGTCAAAAAACAAGGGAAAAAGATATGAGAAAGCATATGATTGATGATATTTTTAAACTATCTGCATTCAAGGTGATAAACTGGGCAACGTCATTGCAAACAGAAGAAGTAAACTCAATATTTTCAATAGATACAGTATAAACAGGTTTGAAATCCTATCTTCACATGAGAAAATACAGCAACATCCAAGCAATATTTCTTTGTCAGCCAGAACAGAAGCACTTAAAGCTCATTGGGCAAAAAGTAACTCATTCGTTCTGACTGCCAGGAATTGAATGTCTTGCAATTTAAGTTAAAATATTTCTTCTAGTAATGTTTTTGCAACATAATAATAATAAAATACAATTTTCTAATTTAGTGCAAACAGATCAAATTAAATGAAATACCCCGTGATTTGTCCAGCAACAAGAACGTGCAAACACACACATACCCGTGCCCCTGGTTGTCCCTCAGCAGGCAATACCTGTCCCTCAGGTATTATTTCCTGAATACATAATGTCAGTCATACATTTGACTCTAAAACCTGCAAATATAAAATCACAAGACTTTTCAAAGTGGGCAGGAATAAAAATCTTTATATATTAGCATGGAAAACAATTTATTTTATTAGCAGTAATATGGACAAACACCTTAGATTTGCAAAATCAGAACCAATATGTCAGCCATGATTTTCAAAATTATCTAGCATAGGTATCCATAGAATTGCCTCTGAAATCAAGTGTCTTGTGCAGGCATTTATATGACAAACCACCTCTCTGCCATGCTGTTAGTATTAAGCTATCAGAGGTAGAGATACTAGTATAGTGTATCATGAGAAAACTCTGACCCTGTAGAGTTACTACCCTATGTGATGGGAAGTGTCCAGTCCTACTGATATGTTGAAAAGTCCCTATGTTGACTGTGTGGTTTAAGAGTAAGTTACTATGTGCTTGTTTGTGTGTGTTGTATACTAAGAATAGTTGTTTATTGGATTTGCTGAACTTAATAGTTCCCAGTTGTGAGCCTCAGATCTGTAACATATTAAGGAGTCTTTCAGTAGTGTTTGATCAGAAGTCCTCTGATAAATGTGCAGAGCACATTTCTAAGTCCTAAGGATCAACTGAAGTTTAAATGCTTTTATAGGGATACATATTCGCTTTATGCAATGAGGTACTTATCTTTTTAAAGACTGTATTTTTCAACATTGGTAAAGGACATTTAGACCCATCCTTGGAATGGCGGGTTTGCTTTCCCTGTCAAGTCAGGAAAAATAAACTTTTCTAATGCTAAATTTCAATTTTGCACTGGAATAAGGTAATTACTTTAAAGTAACTATGCAGTTTGTTCCAATTACACTGAAAAAAATTACTCTCCTCAACAAAAATAATCTTAGAATTTCCCATAGCACAGTCCCAGAGTGCTGATGTAGCTATTGTTTAAAACACAGCATCCTTTTTGTGTAGCAAATCATTTGTGTTAGAAACCAGCCAAACAGCAATATGTTTAGTTAATCAGTTATCATTCAAACCAAGTTTATAATTAAAGGAATATTAACTACCACGATGGATATAGCTTGTAGCAGAAATTTAATTATATTCCCCATGCCTGTAATTAGTTTGGGTATTTAGATGGTGTTGTTTTATATTGATTATATGGGTCCCACTACATTTTTATTTTAGAGGATCCCCCTCAAGCTGAAATATTTATACTTTTCCGATTCTTAATTTTCTGCTGAAGCAAGAGAGACAACTGTTCACTTGTCAGGTCCAAAAAGAGGCTTAAAAAGATTTACATTTTTTACATTATATTTGCATTACTTTACATTCCCAGGTGTAAAGTCTTACAAGAAGCTGACTTTCTTAAAGATGTTACTCAGGTCTTCAAATTACAAAAAGAAGAGAAATGTGTAGAGAGGGGCCAAACTGGCTAAAATTTTTAGCAAAAATTTCAAGGAACTCACTAGCAAATTTCATGCTATTCTCTGAGTTCACAACTCC